TCCCCGTTGTGTGAAGAGGTGGTGCAAGAAACATGCAAGGTCCTTTAGGAATGGAGTTGCATTTCAGATATTGAGAATAATAAACCTGTTTGTTATTGTAGCTCCCTTTTAGGGAAATTGAGGCAAGTTCTGAACTTGCGTTCTTTGTTAGGGTGTGCCGGAATATACTATTATCCCACTTGCTTCCTTCATGTACTAGGTTCACCAAGGAGTCAGGAATGGGCAAACTGGCTCACATAATGTCACAGCTAACTCTATGGGCTGTACCAATCCAGTTTGTGCTGTATGGTGTGTGTCTGTGTGTAATGCTTATATATGTTAAAGATATAGAGGTAATATTTGTATAATGACTTTAATTTGTAGAACATGGTTAATCAAACCTTGCATGGAATAGAAGCAGATACCTGAGTAAAGGGAAAGTGCTGTATGCCAAAAGTGCAGCAATCATTCTCTCTGCAGTGTCATAACATACCCCTCGTCTTTAAGTTGATGTGTTTTGTTGTGTCTCAGTTAATAAATTTAGATGCTGTGATTATAATGGCAGGCATAGCCTAACTGGCAATAGCCCTTGGGATTGGCGCAAGAACCTGAAAAAAAATATGATCTTGTCTCTGACAGTCCTTACAGATTTTGCTCAAAATCATATAAAAAACTTAGTTTACACTTTCACACGCAAGGGAAAGCAAAATGTTTTCAAGTTTTAAGGCCTAGGTAGATCTTCCCATGTGTTATCACCCTAGTAACATCTAGCAAAAGAAATGTGTAATGTAGTGCCACTGCCTTTTGCATTTCATTGCTCTCCACAAGTTATAGTTAATGACTCAAAATGGACTTAGGAAATGCAGAAAGTAAGGAAGGCCAGCATGTGATATGTGGGGAAGCCAATGGTAGGTGGGATCCATGCATTCCTTGATACACCTAGTTACACCATGGATTAACACATTTGTCTTTTGGGTTTTGTATGTGATGCCCTGGCAATGTCAGAACTAGGGAGGGGGGAATATGATTTAAAGCCAAGTGTATCAAATTCACACTTTCTGTAACAAAAGGAGAACTGAAATACAGATGTCCTTCGAAATTTGATATCCAAATTTTACAATGCATACATTAGGGGGAAATGTGCATAAAAATGAATACATTTGCAAAGATAACATATACAAATGCTTTATATTAAAAGAAATTGCTTGCAAAAATGTGTGCTAGTTAAAACTGCATAGAAAAAATTATTAGGAGAAACTTGCAGTAAAATGCCGAAGAATTTCATATATAGTGCAAATTGGTGCAAAAATGCAGGGAACTGAATTTAAGATTGGAAAAATGAGAGACTGGGAGAACCAAAATTGAGCCCTAGTCAGAACACGTGTTCTTTAACTGTGGGATGATGTCAGCTTTATTAGGAGCCTGACCACTCATGAAGAAGGCCAGTTTGTAGGGCAAAATACTTTTCTGGATCCCCCACCCATTCCCCAGTATGGAGGACAGAGTGGCCTCCAGGATTAAAAAATATAGAAAATGATCACCTCCCCACTGATACATGAAGTTGAATCTTAATAGTATTTGTTATATATACCAATGTCAATGTGTATTTTTTTAAAAAAAGTAATTAAGACAATACCTAATTAGAATTTGTTGTGTTAAGGGGACTTCTGCTTCTTGCTAATGGAGAATGGAGTGCAAGTCCGTTTGCTCTGATAAAGAAAGACGGGCTTGAGCCCCACGGAGAGAGGGGGGAAGCAACAAGATGAGTTGCACCTCCTAAAAAGCCTCAGGAGTCTCTTCTGAGGTTCTGAAGGGTCAAGCGGCTTGCAAAAGGCTCTTAAGCAACCTCCTAAACTCCTGTCTGAAAGGAGTGGGGGGCGGGGGAGTGGTGTTTGAGCCAGCAAACTTTGCAATATCAAGTCTCTGTGGGAGCGAAGTCTCGAGCTCCGACCTGCTGCAAGAATCCTTTCAAAATAAAAGATTCTAGCTGAGTGAAGGTAAAGAAAACTAATTTGTATTTGGATTTAATTGGTGGACATTTCAGCTAAAGACAGTGGATGTAGCAAGGAGGTCCATCCCCGTTGCTTGGGTAACTTCAAACTGCATGAAACAACTTGCAAGTGAGGAAGTTACAAACCTTGTTTGGATACGTTGGGACATTTTCTTGCCAATGGGAATATAGCAATATAGGTGATTGTGGTCAAGGCAGAAAGCTTACAAAATGTATCTCTATGCTCAGATAACTTTTACATAATAAATATCATGAGGAGGCACTGTTCCCCAAACACTTTAGATAAGGAGATAAGCATGTTACTCCTCCAGGCTTTGCTACTAAAGCCAACTGCCAATGGGACAACATCTGAGAGAGCCACTAGTAGTCCCAGACGAAGAGGGGGTCAGTTGCATGTTGAAAGGAAGGAAGACGGGGTTTGAGTTGAGCAAGCAGGAAAGGAAAAGGAGTCAGATGTACAGTTTTGCTAACAGAACCATTTCTAAGACTGAAATATTGTTTAAATTTGGTTCTTATGTTGGGGCACATTGCAGGTTTATTTAGGTATTCAATCTAGTTCTTGGCTTCCAGTTAAAAAAGAAACGTAAATACCTTTTCCCCACATGGTGCTTGCAGCATGGCTAAAGCAGAAAAGATAAAGTGAAAGGGCCCTTTTCTCTGTCTGAAGTGGCTCCTAAGGAGTTTGGGCTGATTTATCCAGTCCAGCTATGCTTCCCCCACCCCTGAAAGAGCTTGTTTTGGTGGCACAGCTAAAAGCAACCTATTTTGGTGCTACTTCATACAAAAACAATTCCTACATTATTATCATGCTCACTTGAAGCCGCGGTCCATTCCGGGACTTTACACCTCAAGTTTCATTTGGAGATGGGGAGTCATTCTTTGCACATTACACCTTCCGTCAGTTCCTTCTACCTCACAAAGAGATCTATGGGGCAGCTTCCAAAAGCAATGCTCCCCATTAAACTGAGGTCAGATAGTCTTGTAGATGGACCATACCAGCTTAGCCAGTTAATATTTGAAGTATATCTTTTTATTGGTGGGGAAGCAGTGTTGATTCACCTTCAGACACATCCCGAACTATCTTGATGGGGTTTGAATGTGAAGTCTGGTAAATTTCCTGACTCCCTCAGCCAGAGTTAAAAGTACATGTGTACCCAAAGCCGATACCTTAACCACAGATTCATGTTAAGTATCAATAAATGACCTGTTCCCTCCCTGACATGTCAAATTTCCTCCCAATCACCCTTGATCAGAATAATTTGTAGAGAAGATGTGAAGCACACCTCTTACTACACAACCCCAGGAGAAAAAACTGTGAAAAATTACTATGTGAACTAGTCCTTCAAAGCACTTTCTGTTTTATCATGCACCTATGATGGAGGTCATAAAAATGCAGGATACAGATCAGGCAAGCAGAGCCTAGGCGAAAACATTCTGTTTTGAAGCTATGATGAAAGCATGATTGTTGTGGTAGGAGCCAGTGGATAAGTTCCCTGCCCACCCACACAGATTCATTCCACACAGATAAGTTGACTAACAGAGTTTGTGTCATTTGCCAGTTTCTCTTTCTTGTAAGTAAGTAAGTAAGTAAGTAAGTAAGTAAGTAAGTAAATAAATAAATAAATAGAGGAGTGCCATATTTTCCCTTGTTGTCTTGCTGGTGTTACTCTAACACAAACTTCTACCAGACAACTGATTTTGTACCAACACATTTTTAACCATATATTAAATGGTTAGGCCTTTGTTTAGTTTGCTTGGTGGCACAGAAAAAGCTGTCCTCCTTCCCTAGTTGTGTTAGTACAGGTAGTGGCTTCCAGATGAAGAGTAGTGTTAGTATTCAACTTACTGTAGAAAGTAGACCCTTCTTAGTCATGGGCAGTCATTTCAGAAGGTCTGTTCTGAGTGAAACATGGTTGAATACCAACCATGCTTCTAAAGAAAAATTATAGTACACAACCCAAGAGGAAAGTAGCACAGTACACACACAGGAAAAGATGCTAAAGTGGCGACCCTGGATAGAACGCACATCAAAAGATGTATCTAGCCAGTTCAAGGGAGCTTTAGCAGGCATCATGGTGTGAATGGGGATGCACATCCAGATGCACATTTGTATTCTCAGCTGCTACCATGCACAGTGAAGACTACTTTCATTGGTGGAAGGATGTGTCTCAGGTTCAATCCCCAGCAACTCCAGGCAGGGTTGGGAAAAATCTCCTGTATGAAACCCTCCACTGCCAGTCAATGGTCTGACTTGGTATGTTTCTACACACAGATCTCCCTTCCTGGATTAGTTAGGCAGTCTTTTTGCTATGCCAAATAGTGAACCTGAGAACTTGAGAAAGCAAATACATGCGAAAGTAAATGCGAAAGTTGATGCTGCTGAATTTTATTCAGAAACTGCCATTCAGATATTCAAATGCTCTCAAATCACATTTGGGATTTGTAGACACGGAAATTAAAGTTACTTCCAACTCCATTTATTTGCTGCTTGCTTGTGAAAATCAATATAAGACAAAAACTTTATTTGCAATTCAGGTGTGAAAATAATGGCTAGAGAAAGCTTGTCTCCAACCTTGTGGTCAACAGGTATTTCCCCCATATATGCCTATATGTGCAGTTAACTTTTATAGATGTTCATCCTGTTTCTTCAATACAAGTATTTCCAAGGTGGCTAGCAATACTAAAGCAATAAAATAATAACAACTGTAACACAGATAAAATACTACTAGAATAAGAACACCAGGTGCAACTGCAGTATAATATCAGCATCACTAGCAGTTTAAAAAGTCTTGGAAAATAATAAAGGTATTTGCCTTGCACCAAAGAAGTGTGGGCAGCAGGCAATCCTCCCTGGGGAGAGCAGACCACACATTAGGCTCTACTACCAAGAAAGCTGTCTCGTACTATCAAGTCATCTGCTAGAATTCAGTATGTTTCCATCAGTCAATTACTTTAATCTTGATCTTGATTATTAAATTTTATATAATATTCCCTTTCTTTTTGATTGCAGGGAGTGAGTTTTCTGGAAGTCCATATAGCCATCCACAGTATTCCACATACAATGATTCCTGGAGATTTCCCAATCCTGGACTGCTAGGTAAGTTTCCCCCATTGCAACTGGACCATCAGCAGCATAGTTCAAAAGGCAAGTGGGGGCAAGCATGGGACTGCCATACTGGCTATAACTGGGAAAGATGAGTAGTGATGGGGATGGATGAATCAACCATTCTCACTTTCTCTTAGCTTTTCATTTTTCCATTCTAAGGTGCATTCACCCACATTTCTCTATCAGTTTGTGTGTTGTTGTTGTTGTTGTTGTTTTAAAGAAACAGAGTTAAGAGAATTCGCCAGCATTTAGTGTATATGTCTCCCAATGCGGAAATTTTTGCATGCAGTTTTTCCTAAATATATTTTGTATGTTAGTTTCATTAATGCATGTTTTGTTTTGCACACTTCAGTATATGGACTTTTGTATGTACGTTATTTGGTTGTAGGGCCGTTTCACAAAATTTGGAGAAGTGTGAATTCTGAAAGATAGATATGTTTCAGTTTGTGTATTGTTGCAGGAAGTGCAAATCAGGAAGTGCACAAAAGGTGAATGGAACCAGATTTCTCCCCCATCTCTAGGGAAGTTGACATCTATACACTTGCTGTGCACCAAAAGAGGCTAACACCAGTGGAGTTACTAAACCAGAAGACAGTGCAGCCCTCTCTAGCCTAAAGAATGTATAGCTTACTTTGAACTATATCATATAAATTATCACCACCAAGAAAAGAAACAGCATTGAAATATGCCAGATTTTAGCTTGACAATGAACAATTTATTACTTATGCTTTCAGAAGGACTGGTGGAAATGCAGTACAGCGCATGTAGTACTACACATTATATGCCATTATCTTTGAAGCATATAAGGCCACTTTCTGGAATGACTTTTCTATAGCTTCACATCCTTTCATTATCCATGCTGAGGCAACAGTCTGTAAATTCACAGCACATTCCTAAATAAGTTTAAACTTTACTCAGAAGCCTTTCTGATTTCCATGGGATTTAGTTTTAAGGAATTCTGTTTAAAATGGAAAGGTGTATATTTACTATAACTCTGTAGAAGATGGAGACTGGCAAAAGTTTTGTTTGCACATAATGGTGAACCAATTTAGCATTATGAGGATGAACTCCAACAAGCCTTGAGTTTTCTGGCTCCCCTCTACTCCCTCAGCACAGCCATTGGAAGATTTTGCTTCCATTTAGATTAATAGGAGTTTAGTATTACATATAAACCCTCAGTGGTGGCTTATCTTAGTTATGGTTTGCTGTAGTAAGCTTGCTTCACAACCCATGGTTAATTAAGATTAACTACAATATGTTTACCTTTGAACTTAACAACAAGTTGTAGTTAATTTAAAATGAAAGAGCAAAAGCTTTTTAACCCCTTCATGCTGCCAAAATGGAGAAGGGTAAAGCATGAGAGCCCAAGTCTTCCTGCAGGTTGTCTTTGTAACACTGGTTATGCACAAATTCAGCCACATTTATTTTGGAGTTAGAGGCAGTTTCAGAGTGCCACACTGGTCATGGTGTGTAAGTTAAAGGGAATGTAAATTGAGCAGTTAAAGTGCATAACAACTGGCCATTGTGCACACTCACTAGGCCTCATGGAAAATTTGCACATAATTCTTCTATGAAGAGGGAATTATGCACATTTCCCTGTCAAGAGACATAATTTCCTAGAGAACTTTGGAAATGGGCATGTGACTGAATTTTGTATAATCTCTGAATTTTGTACATTTCCTGGGCAATATTCGCAATCTCCAGTCTACATACAGACTTTCCAAGAAACATGCATTTTTTTCTATTTCATGTGCAGAAGTGTACAATCTCTGTTCCCAGGATGCCTGTAGCCCAATGCCTATTCTTACATGGCCCACAATACACCCTCCCTCTGAGCAGCAAAGAGGTTTAAGGGGGGCTCCAGCTAAATACTAACTTTTTCTGCAGGCCAGCCCCCTTTTCATCATTTTCAGCTGTTCCTCAGCTTGCTGAGCAGCCCAAGGGGTGTTGCAGGGAGATGAAATTTTTAAATCTTCTCTCTCATTTCCACCACACAGATGGAAATTATCCCCATGCTGCTATTAAGGAAGGGAAAAAGCTTAATAGCACCATGGGGTCAATCACTATGAGAATCACAGGGGAGGGAAGATTTAAACATTTAGGAAGGGCTTAAAGGAAACCTGGCTGGGAGAGAAAGAGTATAAAGTACAAAATTCAGTTGTTATATGCACAGTTTCCAAGGGCTGTTGGAGATTATGTATATTTAGTGGGAAATGTGATCACTGAGATCATCTGCAGAAACGTCATTGGTTGGTAAAGCTCATTTGATAACAAGAAACCAAACCTTTCATGTCATTGGTCCAGTATTGTAGAACACTTTGCCAATGGAAATTGAGCCAGTGCCTTCTGTTTCAAAAGACCCACTGAAAACTTTTAGGTACCATCAGGTTTATGCAGGCAATGATGAATGCATACTGCATCTTTTTAGAATAGCTAGACGGTTTCTGATTTTAACATTTTTATGTGGTTTTTATTGTGTGGTGTTATAACTGTTGTAAACCACTCTAATACTTTTTATGAATAAACCACTCTGATACTTTTTATGAATACTGGTAAAAAATTATATTTATAGGTTCTTTTGGAACCCAAACATCCAATGGGGCTTCCGCGGCTTTCGATTGGCTGCAGGAGCTTCCTGCAGCCAATCAGAAGCCATGCTTTGGTTTCCAAACATGGATTTCCGGAATAGATTCCATTCGACTTCCAAGGTGGGACTGGAGAGAGAGAGATAGATATTCTCATATTCATTAGCTGGTTATTATGCACATTAACCACTCAATTTACATTCCTGTAACATATATATTTGCTCCACTTTCATCTCTGCTAAATAATGTGAAACCCTGGAAAACCTGTTTAACAGCAGAAGAAATGTGTCCAGCAGGAAGCCAAAACTTTTCATAAGCTTATTTGAACTCCCTTAAGAACTATTGGCAGGAATCAGTTTTTGCTGCGTGCTATGCTTTATAGTGTTTGCTTTCAGTTTTTTAATTGCAAAATGCTGAAGGGAAAATAATAGGGTATATGAATCCATGCACTTTCTGATTTTTGACTGGAAAAAAAGTTATTTCTCCATATTGAGATCCAAATATATTTGTGCCACATAGTCTCCAGTTTTTATGACACTATAAAAGAAAGCAGTTTACCTTCTTAAAAAACAACAACACCTTTCTTCCAGGGTCTCCCCCACCTTCCTCAATCTCTTGCCTGTTCATTTTGATTTCCCTTACAAATGTGCAGTCCAGTGTATGCATGGCATGTTTCAGCAACATACTTTTGCAGTTAGGCAGAATCCCATTGGCTCTGGAAAATCTCCTGGCAGGCCCTTGGCTTCTGCTCTAGCAAATCCCTGAGTAGCACACCCACTCCCTCACTTTAATAAGGAGGATAAGCAACATCCATTTTATACTACTGTCAAAGTCTGGCCCACCCTGACCTTACATGTGTGTAGCACATGGTGATTAGAATTCTCCTGCATAATCTATGCGGATGAGGTAAGTAAAATACCAATTAATTGTCACCTCTCTAGCAGAGAGATATTGTGCCTTAGAGACTTCCAGATTTATGGATGTCAAGGTTGTTATGTGCGACCTCTAGCAGAGAAATAATTTTGAATTTTTGTCATTTTTTAAAATTCAGTTTCTTTGTTTTAAGTAATTGAGTCCCTAAGTAATTGAGCCACCTAAGCTCTACCCATCACATTCCTTGCCCTTAAATCCTTTGGGAGTAATTGATGGCTATAGCATTCTGTGTCACACTGCTTTTTACAGTACAGTACAAAATTGCCATTTACTATGCTAGAGCTAAAGGTCTTTTTGTTGCTTACGGCCCAAATGGGAAGATGTTTCCTATTACCGTTTTGTTACTCTACTCAATGCTAGTTTCAAACCTCTGTATGAAAGCCATAATCCCATGTAGAGTGGATTGAAGTGTCAACTGCGAGGTTAAAAAAGCCATGGAGGGCAGCTTTTAGGGCTGGTTCTCACACACATGTACATAATTTGACTTCTCATTACTTGGCTATTTAGCACTTGGGGACCAACGGCAAACACCTGGTCTACATGTATAGCACAGTGAAGTGGTATGGTCCTGAGAATAGGTTGTGCCACTTTAGACCGCAGTTTGAGAGGATGCTTTGAAAAACAGTAATCTCCCACATGTATAACTCCCTGTAAGTAAAAAGCTAGCATATCACACAGGCCATAGTTCCCTGCAATACCAAACCAGCCAACCAGAAATCACTGCCAGGGCTCCTCAACATTCCCTACATATTGCTGAAGACTCTCTCCCCGCTGCTGTATATTTTATTCATATGTTCAGCAATAGTCTGCCCTGCACTGCCTGCTGAAGGTTTGTAACTAAACTGATCATAACAAGATTCTTTTTTTAAAAAGAAACCTAATAATGTTTAACAGAATGCTTAATCACAAAATTAATCTGGTTGTACCTATAGATAGCTTAAAGTTCAAGCAAACTCAAACACATTCAGCAATATTTATTATCTGCTAGACAGTTATGGGGAGGGGCATTTTGCATCTGAGTGCCTTCCTTTCTGTACATTACCTTCTAGAGGCCTCTGGGAGGACCGAAACTTGAAGATCTCTAGTGAATGCTTGTTTACTGCCCACAAACAAAATGCTTCCCCCCTATGTCTCCCCAAAAGGCAATAGAGGGGTGAAATGAGAATAGTTATTTGCCGGGGGGGGGGGACAGAACAAATTAGCACTGCTGGAGGGTAAATATGCAGGCTAGAGATGCTGAGAAGGTAAAAGGTTGGCCGTGTGTGGCTGTAGCTGCTGTTAAAACTAATAACTGCTACAGCAATTGTGACTTGTGCCCATGTGGAAGCCTTGTTTATTTAGGGCTCTTGCATAAACTATGTCAAGGTTGCACTGATAGCGTGTTCTTGGCTGGCTGGTAGAGCCAGTGCAATGCCACAGGACTTGGTGTTCTGTCAGCTGCCCCGCATGGCAAATGCTTGTCAGCACATCAGC